AAATATCACCGGGACCACTTTATAAATTTTTATTTTGGGAAAATTATAACCAACAATAAAAGTAATATTCTTGGTTCCAAATGATTGAAATCCAACTGAAGTTTAGTTTATTCATGTTACAAGGAAGCCTGGGGTCAAGTGGATTTTAGAAGAGACAGGATTCAGGTAGTCAATGAGGTCTTTGTCTCTCCTCTTTCTGTTATAACTCTATCTGGGCACTTTTCTCTCTTTTCCTGTATCTCTCTTTGTTCCTGTATATTTTTTCACTGTGTCTCTCTGCATCTTTTTTGGTCTGTCTCCGCATCCCTGTGTCTCTCACTCTTTCATTGCATCTCTGTCTCTATTTCTAGCTACATCTCTGCCACTATTTACCTGCATCTCTTGATCTCTCTGTGTTTCTATTTGTATCTCTAATTTTTGCATCTCTCTTATCACCACACAACTTATCTTTGTTTCTGTGTAGGTATGTGACTGCCTGTTTCTGTTGTATTTCTAGAGTGTCTACCAAAGTTTGAACACTTTTAGGAAAGATTCTGGTTGACTACGCCATAGTAACATGCACACCTCTCAAAAACATTATCATGTACATGGATGCAGACAGCCTTCAGTTCACCCCCTTTAGTAGGAACATGGACTGGACCTTCCAGATCTTGGTGATTCTTTAATGACTGCCCAGTGTGAAGGGGTCTACACCCACCATGTGCAGCACCACAGCCTCCAACCCCATCATCGTGGAGTGGCATAACGGCCAGTTAGATTCTGTGGACCCAGGAGATGAGTGCAGAGTTTCCTCTGCTCCTCAGGTGCATTGCTGGAAGTGCTAACTCACACTCATCTCACCTCTTGTCTCCTGCCTAGTCACCTGATGTCACTGCTGAGCTGGAATTTCCCAAGGAGAGAGCTTTCCTTATCCATGGATATAATGACCTGTTGATTCCTGTTGATATTCTCTAACCAGGTGTTAAAGAGGTCCCTGCACACGGAGGCTCTCTTGACATGGGCCAGCACAGAAAGCTAGTCTCCATCTCAGTCTCTGGGCTTGTTATATGGCCAGGTGGCTGAGAGCTTGTCTTTGAGGTAATGAAAGGCCTCCCCTTCTCCCTGCTCCCTCACCTACTCATTGGGCCATTGTCTTCTATACCCCAGGCTGCAATGCAGGTCACCAGACATGGGCACTGTGAATGTGTGGGCAGATACACTCAGGAGCATTCTTCTCCTCAAGGTCATAGTCTAAATCTGCCCAAAAAAGGATGCTGAGTGGTCAGAGGTTTTGTGCTGGTTTTGTCATCTTCCTCAGAATGAACATTGTCATTTATCAAAGGAGTCAAGAAGGATAACACTTAGGGAAATGGGGAGCACTTGTGTGGGTGTATAGTGAGCACTTATTCTCCATATGTAGCACTTTGCTTTTGAGCCTGCAAAAACAAGAGGCAGTGATGGATACTGAACCTGGCCCAGAGTTTAGGCAGACATTGAGATCTGACTTTTCTAGTTGAAACATTAGCCCTCTTATAAGGGTTAGTGGTAGGGTATATTCTAGGGCATTCTTATGGTTCCACACTGCCACACTGGCCACCTGCTGGGAGATTCCTTTTAATGACAGGGTCAGAGTCATCTTCCATTCCATTGACAGCTTCATAGCAACAAGTATTTTTGTTTGTACCAGATTTCATTGGGTAATATAATCTTTAACTAATAATTTAATCAAAATAACATTACATCCTTTATAAACAAGTTCCTAACAAAAAGAGCTCAGTCTTAGTAGGCATACATCTTGGAGAAATGTATGGGTGTGCTAGAGAAAAGCCTGCTGGTATTTACCTTGTGGCTTTACCCT